TCAATCTAGGCATCACCACAGGAGAAGAACCAGACTTAATGTGCCATCTGATGAGATGTAGTGTGAGGTGTGCTCATCACACCTGTGCTCACATAAAAAAAAAAAAAAAAGATGAACCTGAAAGTTACCCTCCAGAATAGTACTAAATATGGAGGTACAAGTTAAATACTCCCTCAAAGAGACAAATAGACTGATCTAGAAAGAGGCATATTTTAAGGACCATGAACAGAGCTTCTTTAAGTCAGTGGTAAGAATAAAAAAAAAGGAGGGAAGAACAAGAATGAAAGAGACTTATGACATATCTTTGCCATATGTAATGTGTGCACCTTATTTGGATAATGATTTAAACCAAGATGTTTCTGTGAATGTTATTAGTTGTGATATAACATTGTAATATGCAAAAAATTAGTCATGGTTTTCAGAGAGAGGATGAAATGACGTGACATCTGAAATTTGTTTACTATAATTTAGCAAAAAAAAAAACCCCAAAGACAATGAAAACTCAAGAGTATAGGTGAAGAAAATGTGACAAAACTTTTATAATTATTGAATTTGGGTGGTAAATACATGATGCTCTATTATATAGTCCTTATTCTTTTTAGTATGATGAACACTTTCCATAACAGTTCAATTTCTTAAATGCAAAATCCGTACAACAAGCAAATAGCTTTAATACTTTTAACAATATTATTTCCAAAACAGAAAGAACAAGAGTCAAATCCCTGATCAAAGTAGCTTAAACTCAATCTCCTGCATTGCACCAAATGAAATATGCTGTATTTTAAAACGTACGTTTGAAAATAACATTCTGGCACATCACATATCCTTGAGGTGGAAAAACAGTAGCATATTTTATCTTTGCAAATGGAACAAATTTTTCAATTGGTCCCTTTTCTATGCAACATTTTTGGATACTGCTATATGCTATTAATTCAGAGAGAAAATACACTGAGATTTCACTATCTGTATACTTTTGGAGACACCTAAAAGAAATGACATACAATAATACAATGCATGCAAACAAATGGAATCACAGAATGGATGAAACTTATATTTTGCTCATATTTTGGTCAGCATTGCCAAAAAAAAGTAATTTAAACTCACGATATTTTAAATAAAATGAGAGTAAAATTTTTATGCATATTTAAAAAGAATTAAGATTTCTTACTTTTAGGATACGTAGTAAACCTTCCCTACATTTTGTATTTAATTGAGGTCATCTAAAAACTCTCATATCTAAGTATACAATTGTCTACAGCGTATAATACTTGGAAGTCACACAGGTGACCAAATCTCTATATATCCAAATATAAGTCACTATATACTTCCTCAAATTGATACTTCCGCCTGTATTTCTCAGTTAATGGTGCCCACATAAATACAACACTTGGATCATCTCTGCTTTCTTCCTTAATACTATACTCAATGCAGCCAATCAAAATGATCTTTTGATTTATCTCCTTAATATTTCACAAATCTGACCTTAACTCTTTATCATCTTACACAAGGCTCTCATGTCATCTCTCTAGATCACCACTATAGACACTGAATAGTTACCACCACTAACAGAAGAAAAACAATAATTATATTTACACCGAATGATAAAATTTTCAAACTAATTTTTAGTACCAGAAAGCAGATCAATGGGCTTGGCGCCTGTAGCTCAGTAGGTAGGGCACCGGTCACATACACTGGGGTGGAGGGTTCAAGCCTGGCCCCCGGGGCCATCTAAATAACAACAACAACTGCAACAAAAAAATAACTGGGCATTGTGGTGGGCACCTGTAGTCCTGGCTACTTGGGAGGCTGAGGCAAGAGAATCATTTAAGCCCAAGAGTTTGAGGTTGATGTGAGCTGTGATGCCACAGTACTCTCCAGTGGGCAACATAGAGAGACTGTCTCAGAAAAAAAAAAAAAAAGCATATCAATGATTTCCTGGAGATGGGACCAATTACAAAAGGCACATGGAAACTTATTGGGGTGATGAATATCTTCATTATCTCGAATACAGAGATAGTGTTGAGGTTAGATACATATGCCAAAATTAATTGAATTATACATATTAAACATGCCATTTTATTGCATTCAATTATACTTCAATAAATACAAAGACCAATACCTAAATCTGAAAATACACTACTAAGTATTTTTCAGTTTCAATGAAATACTGAAATTTCTACAAGTACTAGCAAGCTACTTCATGAAAAATCATTTTAAAATTTGAGAAACTATTGCTCAAAGACTCCAATCCACAGCATAGGAATAGGCAGAATAGACATTGACTATATGTATATATCTACCTTAATTTTTTTTTCATTTGACAAATATAAATGCTGGATATATACTAGTGACCAAAATAAAAGACATACTTTCCCTTGGGTTTATCATCTACAGTTACTATAAACTTGTTATCAAACTAGAACTAGCAAAACTTATAATGATTTCTCAAAGTCATGGTAATGGTAAGAACTTCATTCAACAAATTCTTTGTATCAATAATCCTAGATTACATTGAAAGAGATTTACAAATCCCCTATATTTTTAAGTCATTCATTCACTCTCCATGTCTCCAAAATAAAACATGATGTGTCTTTTGACACAAAACTTGTTTTAACTTGCTGTGTCCTTCGAATTGGTCTGTGTCCTCAAATACTAGCCTATATAAGGGACTCAGGTTCTGAGTTAATAATAATTCTTTATTATTATAGACTTCTGTCAACTTCACATTTTCTGACTCCATAGATTTGGGATAGGGCTCAGAGTCTTCAAATTGAACTATCAGCCCATGTGATCCCCACCCTATTGGTCTGGATTTCTTTCCCTGGGAAACAGTGTGATTGCCTATGAACCAAGTAGATGACTAATGAAGCTTCTATGTGATGACACATTAGATAAATAAACAGATGGAAATGAAAATGTCACCAAATTATACAAATGCAGCAATGCATACCCATGACCACATCTCCATCTCCAGGTGAATTCACTTAAAGCATTTTTTAAAATTAAGTGAGAAACTAAAGTAGACGATCTTCAGTAAGTGAAAAAGCTTTAAAATATCCTTAAAATTTGACCAAACACAATTGTAAGACAGATCCCAGAGGGAGATTTTTAGTATTTCCGAAAAAAAGGGTAGCTCTCAACTGTGACATTAAAAACAAAATTAAAAAGCAAAACAAAGACATTCTTCTTTCCATGTGTCATTGATAATTTTTATACCTAATAGGCTCAATTCAGTTTGTAATTTTACATTTATTTTTGGCATAACCTAAATGTAATTACTGCAGTTCCTTTACTACAATCTCAAAAAGTCAATGAAAATCTTGGCATATTTTTGGGCTATGTCAGTGGTTTTCAACCTTCCTAATGCTGTGGCCCTTTAATATAGTTCCTGTGGGTCGCAAGCCATAGGTTGAAAACTGCTGTGCTATATGATTAAAAATCAATCTGGAAAATTTTCATTTATTCCATGATTTCATAATGTATCTGTTACTGCCCCTATTCTGATTGAAGGTACTTGGTAAATGTAATGAATTTCTTTGATTAAAAACAAAACCCCTTTGAATGACTTAATTTACATTTCTCAGCATGTATTTGTTTTCATTCAATAATCTTTTGTCAAGTGGCCTATCCCAGCCCAAGAATACAATCTTGGAAAAAGTTGCTGGTCTCCTAATCTTCAGGAAACACACTCTGCCCTCAAGAAAGTGCCAAAGAGTGAATGAGAAAACAAATGTATTCCACAAAACTGTTGAAGACCTGAGAAGGACTTCCCAGGATCCATGATGAGAAGAGGACATGTGTGGATTGGAAAAGATCTCCAAGAGAATAAACAAGCAAAGCTGTACAGATGGTAATCAGGAGACACTAGAGCCACCAGGAAGAAAGATGTGGGCATAAGATTCAGGATTTGGCAAAGGGGAAAAGGTAAACTTGATGCTATGATGGTTGCATATCAAAAATAGGACTACTTTCTCCACAATCAGGAGAATTTAGCAGCAGGTGACCATAGGTGGTAAGAAGGCAGGATAGGGTAAAAATTAAAAAACTTAAACTGATTTATTCTGTGGTTGGAATTTTTAATTGGACTCAACAAAAACTCTGATTCTGTCTTGACCAAAACAGAAAACAGGAATAAAATCAGTTCTTGAAAAGAGTCTGAATCTACTTCATTGTCCTACATCATGGGTTATCTATTTCTGCAATCTTTGCTTCCCACATCATTTTAATCCTTACCACCATGTCAAGAGAACAAGGCTATGCCTGGTTGGCCATCTTCGGTTATTTTGCTTGTATGGCCTTTAGCATATAGAAATGAATAAAACTCAAATGGGCAACCTTAAGGTCTGATGGATCTTGGAAATTACCTGGTAATATGTCTTCATCTTACATGGGAGGAAACTGAGACTCAGAGAAATCAGATAATTTCCCCCCGCCTCAAAGCTGGTGAGAATTTGATTAAAATGAAGACTTTATAGACTCTTCTAGAACAGTCATGAATTTTAATCCACCTACCTTGTCTTGGAGGCATAAACTTTAGGTTGCAATTGGCGAAATTGACTTGTTTTATTAAATATTGCATTAAATCTGTTAAATCAATATGCACGACTATTTTAAAAGATTTTTTGACAGATCTTTATCATTGAATATCCATAATAGAGTATGTTTAACACTAGCTCTTTTTAGTTTTAGAGGGAGTGCACACTTATTCTTTTGAGATAATGGAACCAAAGGAAAGAGGGAACATTTTTATATCACATAAATATCAAATCTTGGAAAATATTTGCCTCCACATCCAAAGAATAATACCCTATGGGGCTCAAAATAAAAATTCTTAGTTTTCACTGAAGTGGTATTTACTGACAAAAGTAGAAAAGTATTCTGTTTTCTACAGCTTGATTTTGGAAAAGTCTGTCATTGCCATCAGAATATAAGCTGTGCTTAAGATATTTTTTAAAGTTTAGTGGAAGAAAATCCATTCATTTCCAAAACAATGTACTTACTGATTCAAGACAGGTGTGTAGGCAGTTTTGTCCTCATCAATAATAGTGACCATCAGTGTAATAAGTTGGGGCCAAAAATCCAAATTCTTGGTAGTTGGTCCCTGATCTTCCCGAGGAATGTCCTGTTTTTTACTCTGCTCACAAGTTCACGCAACATGCAAAAGAAAAGGTTAAATGGGATGACTTTAGTTAAATGTCACTGTCAAACAAGAGGGCCAAAGAAAAGTGATTATGGAAAATCTCTTAGATTATGTAACCCAAAGCTATTAAATTCAGAATTCCTTTCCTCATTGAATAGCACCCAATAGGGTAAACTTGCTGTGGCCAGGTTTACATTTCTATTCACTCTTCTACTTTTTCTTTTTTTAGTTTAACTGCTATCACATTTTTTAAGATTTTTTAATTGTTTTAATTCTAGACTGGAGGTTTCTTCTCCCTCTTTTTTCTTTCTTTTTTTTTTAGAGACAGTATCACTTTGTCACCCTTTGGTAGAGTGCCATGGCATCACAGCTCACAGCAACCTCTAGCTCTTGGGCTTAGGCGATTCTCTTGCCTCAGCCTTCCCAGTAGCCACGACTACAGGCACCCACCACAATGCTCCGCTATTTTTTTTGCTGCAGTTTGGCCGGGGCCGGGTTTGAACACACCACCTTCGGTATATGGGGCTGGCACTCTACAACTGAGCCACAGGCGCTGCCCTCTTCTCCTATTTTTATTCATGACCTTAGGAATTATTATTGAAGACATTATCCCTGTAATATGGCTTCTTCCAAGGATAAAGGTTGAATTTTGTGTGTACAAAGGAGGGTGTGTGGCGCGTTTGTGTTTACTTGCTTAACTATATTGTCCAAAGTCACATTGGTAATTAGCATGCAGAGCCCAAAGTTGCCTGTTTAGAAAATCAGCACTTTTAAGCGCTACAATGTATATACGCTACAGTGATTATCTTGAACTCTTCCCATCCTGCCCACAGAGTTTCCTGAATAACTAAAACGTTGCTAAGTCTACCTTTTTCTTTATTCCTTTCATTTAAATTACCTTTGAATCATTCTCAATTTACCCTGCTACTTAAATTCTTCACCTCTCACTTCTCAGAATGTGGCATGAGATGATCTAAATTTACTTTGAGGTTAACAGGGTACAAGACAATCTTCAATGTTTCATGTATAAATTTCCTATTTCACATAGGCAATTCTTTCCAACATATAGATAATTTAATCTGATTACTTATTTTGTGTGGGAATTATTTTTCGAGCCCTACTTTTACATTTTTTCTTAATTAGGCAAAAAATACAGGCAGAGAGAGTTTTCATTCCAGTATACAAGTAAGTGGGAAGCATCTGGCTTCTATGACAATTTTTGCCACAAAATTTATAAGCTTATATGTATAGAATATCTGAACATTTGTGCCTCGGGAAACACAAAGCCTCTGATGGAAAATGTGTATTAGATTTTATTTAGCCCAATCTATTGCTGACAATTATTATGTTTTCTGCTAGGACCAGAAGATCAGCCACTATCTGCTAAATTGTATATACATACCTCTCAGTGCTAATAATGACATGGGATGATATTTGGATGAGGTATCTATTAGTATTATTCTCACCTAAGTTCAAAGATAGTCCCACTTACTACTACAGACCTCCACACATACATTACCATACTGTGCCTTTAAAGATATGTATTTTCCTAGGATGCTGGCAAGAGCTATTGATTTACCTTTATGTTCAACAAAATGCAACAGATGTTAAAACTTAAAAATTAAAATGGCCAAAAAATTAGTGGCTGAGATAAATTACTTTATATCTCCAGAATAAACTACATCTGATCCCTGAGAATCACTGGAAACTCCTTGACCAGTTTCCTCCATCAATTTCTAAGGCAAGTCAAGGTATATCAGTGGATCTTTAGGAAGAAAAATGCAGTAATATAGGCTTACAAATACCCAAATTTGCTGACTTAAAGTGTTAATTAAAATTTTTCTTTGTCTTGTGAATAGGTCTTCCTACTATGCACAATAATGTAGTTATTTATATTATATTATATATTATTATATTAAGCCAAATAGATTTCTAAAGTATGTAGAAATCTAAAGAATCTGGTGAGTTGTGAAGGTTATAAATAAAAGTAGTTCTCATGGCCACAACTGACTACATTAGAATACTATCATTAATCACCATGATGAGTAATAGACAAACTACATGCCTTACATATTTTAAGTAATGTGACTGAGTGAAAGGAAATTATTATCAATGATATATTCAATATCACATTCACTTATCACCATTTTGCAAAGAATGACATAAAAAGGAAGAAAGACAGAGGTAGTTGAATATGCATTAATTCCAAGTCCCTTAGCTGTCAGAAATTGTATTTCCACCATTCTTTTTTATGACACCAGAGGATTATTGATGGTCCAACTTTTTGCTTCAAATTTTGTATGTTGCATCAGAATAAACCGAACTGGATGCTGAATCATTAAGTTTTTTGCATAGTACCCAGCAGTATCCTAAACCAGTATTTCTCCACTTGAAGAGTGTATTATAATAGATCATGTGCTTAAAAGGATGGGGTATAATCTGGTGTAGTATTATATTATTTACTCCATCTTCAGTATTGAATTTTTCCAAGTAATATTTTATTAACATATCTTAGGAATCCACTAGGGTATTTGACTTTATGATTGGAAAAATTAAGCTAATGATAGTAGAGATTCAAAAAACTAATAGTAAGTGTTTTCATTTTCACTGAAACTCATGAATTAATATTTATCATGGTAAGAAAATATAGTAATTATGAACTCATTAACAACAAATTACAATTCAATTACAAAATGATGACTTGTTGGATCAATCATAATTATAGTTATTATTATAGTTGTGGATAAAATGATTTTAATAGATTATTGAGAAAAGAGACTTGAAAAAAATCTGTGAGAATAAAATGGGAAATAGATTTTTCAAAAATGGAAAGTCGTCATAGTATAGGATCAACTGAATAAATCTTTTAATGATCATAAAAACTACAGGAAAGCTTATGTAGACAATCTGATGAGATGTACATTTTATTTTCCTGGTATCAAGTGAGAAAAAATGAGCATATGCATTAAGAAGAAATCAATGTAAAGAAAGAACCATTAGGAGCGAAGAAGTATTTAAGTAACAGATGGTATCTTCTGAACTTATGCAACACTTCAACATTGCTATAAAATATTTCTCTGGTATTCCATGTATCTATTCAGTGAGTGTATAATTGTGAAATACTTCCTATAAGGGGCTAACCATATTAGGTTTGAGTGAACATATTTGTTAGAGAAATGCAAAGATAGGATATTTAAATGCCAAAGTACATGAAAGATGAATGTTTGAATGTTTGAAAAACTACTAGTAAAATGGGGTCCTATAGCTTTTGACAAAATGTGTTTCTCTAACATTAGTTCTACTGAATGTTAATGAGTACCATACACACGTACAAGGTCCAATGCTCAAATAACTTTAGAAAATGTTTGCTGAAATAGAGTTAAATAGTTATTATTTTTAGGTTTCTTGAAGCCTTTAACACACTAATGCATATTATGATTCTCTAAGATCAAGGTTCTCAAACTTTGGTGTACATCAGCATTGCTGGGAAAGCTTGCTAGTGACAGATTATAAGGCCTCATTTTCAGAGTTTCTGATTCAGTAAGTCTAGGGAGAGGCCTGAGAATTTGCACTTATGATTTTTCAAATAATGCTAGTGTTCTGGTCCAGGAATCACTTTTTGAACCACTTCTCCAAGAGCTAATACTAGAACATAAGTTTCTGAAATGAGTTTGAAGCTGGTAAAGCCCTTACTCCCTATCTCCCCACTCCATAAGATAAGTGCTCCTCTGAAAATACTTGGAGAAATAAAAGACCATGGAGACAGATGGTTTAAACCCTGAAGGACCTTGTATGTCATGTCAAGGAATTTGCATCTAAACCAAATTTCATAAGGACCATTAAAAGATTCTCAACATGAGGCCAGGTATAGTGGCTTATCCTTGTAATCCTAGCACTTTGTGAGACTGAGGCAGAAAGATGACTTGCAGTCAGGAATTTACAACCAGCCTGAACAATGTAAAGAGACTTCCTCTCTACAAATAGAAAATTTATCAGGGTGTGGTGGCACATACCCATAGTCTCAGCTACTTGCAAAGCTGAGGCAAAAGGATCACTTGAGCCCAAGAGTTTGAAGCTTCAGTGACACCACTACCTCCAAAAAGAAATAAAAAGAAATTTAAACACACAAGTACTTGGTTACATTTATGTTTTAAATGAAAAAGGCAAAATACACTTAAAAAAGAGTTAATAGGTGAAACTTGTGGAACTCATTAACTAGTTGATGAGAAAGCAAAGAAAAAGGAAGGAGGTCAGGAAGTAATTAGGCAGACCAGTCTGAAGTTTCAGAAACATTCTGAACTGTTGATGTAGATAGAAGATAGGCTATTTCAGGATATTTGCAGCAGCTGAAATTACAGAGTAAATAAGATTACTCAAAGCCAAGAGAATACATGGCCACAGGCAAAACCATGGAGTTTTAAATAATTTTAAAAAGAAAAAATAAAATTTTTTGAAAGAGAGGCATAAGTGGGGCAGATAGGCTCCTTTGAAATGAGAATGAATGAAATCCCAAGTATATGTGGGAGGATTAGCCTCAGGCATAAATAAAGAATATGGTTTACATTGAGTCAATAAAGAGTCTTGCAGATAAAGGGAACAGTTAGGAATTTTCATCTTAAGAGAAGTGGAGGTAGGATAAGGTATTAGAGGAACAAAGTTTGAAATAACACACCAATAAAAAAAAAAAAAATTGAGAAATAGCCCTGTGTTGTTACCAGTGCTGTAGAGGTACTGTCAACTAGTTTGAGCATGCTGGTGAGGGTGGATCTCTGAATTTATAATTACACAACTCCAGACCATCATGATTTTTCTCTAGTACTGGATCTAAAAGCCAAGAAAACAGAATGTTGGATTTCTTAGGGGGGTGTACAGTAAAATCAGGAAGGGAGAAATAGATTTGAGCATTTGACAAACATAGTTGAAGTACTGTAACATATGTATTGTAGTCTGAAGGAAAGAAGAAAAGGAATGGAAGGAAAGGTGGAAGAGGGAGT